GATATCGCGACAGAACGGTTAGGGCAAGATTAGTGACTGCCAAGGCGAAAGTCGCCCCAATTAAAGCGCAAAGCATACCGCTACTAGAGTTGCAGGCAAATCTGATAGGCGCGCGACTCGCGGAATTCATACAAGACGAACACAGAGTGAGGGCAGATAGGGTCATATATTGAACAGACTCTACAACGGCGTTCCCCTGGATACAGAACGATACGGCGCGTTACACTCCATACGTAGCTCATCGATTAGGGTAGATAGCCGAGAAGACATCACCCGATCAATGGAGATGGATACCGACTGCGCAGATCATAGCAGATCAGTCGACGCGTATGAACTTCGTGAGCAAGGGAGAAAGCGACCAATGGTTCACAGGATCGTCATTTCTCTACGAAGAAGAAGACAGATAGCCTCACCGGAAGGAAGAGGAGGCATGGGATGATGAAGAGTTGGAGAAATTCGTGGCACATCAGAGTGACACCAAGGACGCTCCACACCTGCCAGAGATAGAACACTTCTCTTCTTACGAGAGACTGATCAGAGCCACAGCACGAGTACTGCAGTTCATCGATGCCATACGAGGAAGAGCACAAGGGTTAACGTTACAGCACATCAAGAGGGCAGAGCAGATGTGGGTGGAACGCAGTCAGCAAGCCACGCTAACAGGCAGAGGGTAGTCAACGACCTACGCACCAGATATTATATTCTCTCACTACGATTGACCGTTCGATAAGTGGAGCGGAGATGTCTGCGATGCACGGTACGCAAGGCAACACCACGGCCAGCGGTTATAGGAGACCTACCACCCGAACGGTTAGGGGCGTTTGTGCGACCGTTTACTTTCACCGGAGTCGATTATTTTGGGCCTTTGTCAGTTACGATAGGACGACGGCACGAAAAGCGGTGGGTAGCATTATTCACGTGTTTAACAACGCGCGCGGTTCATCTAGAGCTAGTTTACTCCCTGACGACAGACTCGGCAATATCGGCATTGCGGCGCATGGCAGCTAGGCGCGGGTGGCCACGGGTCATATATTCAGATAACGGAACTAATTTTCATGGAGCAGATGCAGAGTTACGACGGGCTATGGAAGAGTGGGCGCCGCAGCTGAAGGACTTCGCGCTGACTCGACGCACGGAATGGAAGTTCATCACACCGGGTGCGCCTAACCAGGGAGGCGCATGGGGGCGTCTCGTGTGTTCGGCGAAAACAGCGTTGGAAGCACATCTCCATCAGAAGAGCCCAAGGGAGGAGACTCTAGCAACTCTCTTAACGAAAACGGAAAACACCGTCAACTCTCGACCGTTGACCCATGTACCGGTCGACGTCAACGACCAAGAGGCTTTGACACCCAACCACTTCATCCTGTTGGGACTGTCGGGCCTACCGATCACCGCGCCGTGCTCACCCATCGATCGTCGGGCGTAGAGAGTGGCGTAGGGGCTCGCTGACGAATACTATAGGCGTTGGGTGCGGGAGTACCTGCCGACGCTAGTCACGTGCGGAGTTTCCCGGGACGCCCAGCGACAGGAGATAAAGGAAGAGGACCTCGTCATGGTTGCGGACAGCAACCTACCGCGGAACGTGTGGCCAAGGGGGATAGTTACGAGGACGTTTCCCGGACCTGACGGCGTGGTGCGCAACGTGGAGATCCGGACCAGAGGCGGAGCGACCGGTGAGGAAGATCGCCGTCCTCCCGAGAGAAGAGTAGGCTCGCTTGCTACACCGGGGGGAGCATGTTACGGACGGCGAGGGAGCCGCCGCCCCGTCGCCCCTTCATAACCCGTTACGCCCCGCGCACTCCGCACATCGCCCGAATATCTCGTGATGCCGCCGACCAATCAGCACATAATACCACGCACGCGCCGAGACACCCTTTTTGGAAATATAAGAAGGGCGTTAAGGGCTGCGAATTGTTCATTTCGGCAGCGGCACTTCAAGAGATAACATTAAGAGAGAAGACCTCAAGAGAGAAAACCTCAAGAGAGAAAAGCAAGAATAAAGACTCCATAGAAGACTCCCTCCTGTGCATAGTTTATTAACGCCGCTTGTAAATAGTCATAATATATAATCGTCTACAGTACCATCTTTTCTTCCACCGTCCCTAGCATAGTTTACCCTACACAGTAAAGTTAAAATCAGTACACAATTAAATTCAATACAGTCCACTGCAGTCCCCTACAATACTATTAAATAAAATCAAACATAAGGTGGTATGCATGAGACTTGTATATTGCCAAAAATTCTGTAATAAGGTCCTTGTTCCATAATCTATTGTCTGACATTTTACGACGACAATCGTTTTCACAAATCCGCGCGTGTATATTATTTGAAGCGCTCAGAGCACAGAATAAATAATAGTACTACGTACAGAAGTTGCACTCTTTTGATGTTGACTGCTTGCCGACGTTTTAATAGCCTACATAGTTATTATTAATCAGATGTATCGCGCACGAAAGCTAAATAAAACTTTATCGCTGCGCACGATTGTCCGTATTACTTTGCTCTTTTCTCCTTACTACGTCACAACGGACTTTCCGTGGTTGCTAAGGGCTGTTAATAAAGAGTACAAAAATACATTGTGAAATGGTAAGTTACTTAGGTAAAGTACATATGCTGACTATAATCGACCATATTATCTACTATGTGAGTTCTGTGATGCCCAACGCATGCAACTTGCAAGGCCTTTCATCGGGAATCGCGACGCTTGGTAGATAGCGTAAACAACAAATAAACCCGAAATATGATTCCTAACAGAAATATTATCGTAATTTACCTTGTTGAAAATCTTGTAAACAAAGTTTTAATTTCAGTATTTTGTGCTATTGTAACTTAAAATATTTTAATTACAAAGACGAGTATAGGTATGTAAGTAGGTACTTGGGTGAAATAAATTTCAACTAAGTTTTGTAATAAAGTACTTAGGCATTACTTCTGTAATAAAATTATTATATTTAATTATTTTCTCGCTATAAGTACATATCTAACAAAAAATTAAGTAAATTTACCTTTCATTATCCTTCGGTAATTCAAAAAATGATATATCTGAATCCTTTTAATTGCTCATTAAGCATCCATCCCCGCAACAATTATAGTAGGAACGACGTTTTGCCATTATAATCTTTCAAATACTCGTAAATAGGTAATATACATATATATTATTCTTAAATTACATTAAAACTTTTTCAACTATTTTATCCTACAATTAAATATACTAAACACTAAACAAAAACTATTTTGACGAGTATTTCAACAAGTATTTACAAAAAATTATTTACGTAAACAGCGTTAAAAAAGTTTAACATTCAATCGTATAGAGCGCGCTAGCCCCGACTGCGATCTACCCCTGGGGCAGCTCGCGATGGTAGGTAATTATTTCACGCAGGTAGCAAGAGTGACAGTGGCCTGCTCAGAGTAACTTGAACGCATGAGTGAGGTATGAGAGGAAGCGCGAGCTTTAAAAAAAATTGATCCATTTTTCAATTATATAACAAATGCTATTTATCTTTATTTTTGCAATATAATTGGCTTGTATTTTTATTATTGAATACGTGTTGAATATTCTAAACAGAGTTTTAATAAATTTAAAGGTTTGTAAAGACAATATTAAGCCTTTACTATGATACTTAATGTCCGAATCGAATGTATTTTAACTTTATGCTTTTTAATGCATTTTGATTGTTCAAAATATTATATGTATGATATTTTTAAATGATTTTATATTTAATATTTTTTATGAATAATAATGCAACGTCACATAAGCATAAACCGTATTTTGTGACTATATTATAATAATTAGCCAGATATGGACTCAGAGACTCATAAAGATCATGCCATGCAAGTTCTTCTCTTACCTTTATGAGATTAATTTGAATCCGAAGTCTAGTCCCTTAATAACTGTGATTTTAAGTAAAATGTATACTGCCAGGATAATAATAAGAACCCAAGAGTGGTTTGTAGCTTTCTTGACGTGGTAGAGCCATGCTGCAGCTATATTAGTAGTATAGTTAAAGCACCAATGGGTCGGCTCGACCGTGGAAGGACCTCGCTCTCACAGAATACCAGCGTAAAGTATCAGCTCAATACTGCTGTGTTTCGTACGGTTCTCCGGTTCCCTAATCGGAGACCCTTTTTACTGGAAAAGAGGCATTCCATCTTAGTCCTCACTGGTGACAACGCATCTGCATTTTGTTTCTTTATTGAGGACTAGCTGTGCGCCGCGACTTCGCCCGCGTGTAATTGAGGATTTTAATTATATTGCTCAGCACCTTAATTCTTTTTCTCAAATATAAGTGGTCTAAATTACTCCTTAGAACATCGGCTATCTGCCAGTGAAAGTTCCGTCGAAATCGGTCCAGCCGTTTCGGAGATTAGCCGGAACAAGCAGACAGACAGACAAATAAACCAACCGACAGACAGACAGACAGACCGACAGACAGACAGAAATTTAAAAAAAAATGTGTTTTTGTTATAAGTACCGTATATACATTCATAGGCATTGAGTAAAAAGCTGTTATTTTAACATTACAAACAGACACTTCAATTTTATTTATTTGTATAGATAGATGTAGATGTCTATGGGACACAGCAACCACTTAGCATCAGGTGGACTGTTTGCTCTTTTGTCACCCTATACTATATAAAAAAAGCCCCTTAGTTATAATCGTCATGCTTGGAAAACGGATTGGAGAACACAAGAAATAGTTATACCGCTATCTATTGGAGAGAATTAGATCTTTCTGGCGTTTTCTATAATGGCCTCATACGCCTTCCTGGGGACGAAACGGATTGAGGGATGTGTTTACGCATTCACTACAGGGCTACTTTTATAAGTTCAATAAATAACTTAAAAAATAAAAATAAAATAAAACGCGATCGGTTTGTAACATATTTAATTTTACAAATGACTAGGAAACGTTAACATAAGTAGCTTGATTGCATTAACACTCCTCCACTTTCTAGCACGACGACGATACTCCTTGACGCAAAGTCCAAAGCCGCGCTACGTGTAGATCAGCACGAATAGAACTATGAGGAACCCTGACGCCAAACAGATGATCAGGCCAAGTTTCTTCTGAAAATTAAAATTTGTTGGATGATTAATATAATAATTAATATTAATGCAGCATATTTTTTAACCTTATCCATCTATTTTAAAGATTAAGCTTAGATGTGTGTCTGGGTCACTAGGAGTTCAACAACTGCAACAATTGGTTCGCGACTAGATTTACGTCATTACAGTTGCGTGCTTCACGCTTTCATGTACATGCGATTTATACTTCATTACACTCTACACGCAACGCAACATAGTTCGCGAGATAGTTTCAATGGTGCAAGATCCGCGATGTAAAGATGTTGTGCTCGCATTACTTGTTATTTTATCACCATCACACTTGCGATTGTGTTGATAACGAGGCGTTCTATTCTAGTCTCCAGGTGTAACGTGTTTGCATTTACATTCTAAATCGATATGGGTGTCTATGGGTCACGGCATCCACTTACCATCAAGTGAACTGTGTGATCCTTCGTCACCACTATTTCTATAAAACATATTGCTTTCAGTGGTTGTATATTTTAAACTAAAAGCCTTATTTTGTCTTTAGGCAGTCTATTTAGAGGCCGGCATTCTTCCCAGTGTGGCAATAACACCTTTAACCTAATCACGGTCTCATGAGTCTGCGAAATTGGTAGTATGGAAATCCGACTTCTATACCCATTTCCTTCCCACTTTCCGTCAGTTACCTTACGTACCTGATGCCAGTCTCATGAAACAAACATCCCGTGCCCATTTATATATCATTTTATGTCTAGAACTAAAGCTATAAGGGTGATAGGGGACCAGCGTTAGGACGCTCAGGTTACTGCTACCATTTATTTATAGTCAGCTATAGTTACTACACGTCACGACAATACTGCAAACTGACATTAAAATAAATAGTCAGTTTTTACACTAATAAACCAAAGATAGCTAGTTTATTCTACAAGTGCATAAGCTTCATAAATGCTAGGTTTTGTTATTCGTAACAGTAAAAAATATATTTTTGTTGCTAATTTTATTTGTTCATCTCGTTCATTTCATTTTGCCTTGTTGCAAGTCGTGTCTGTTTTAAAATAATTGTATTATGTAGATACAATTATTTTCTCCTATTATATCCTTAAGTATTTATACGAGTATAAGCAATACGTCTACATAAATGTTAAATGTTACAACTGCTGAACCACCTTATAAATTAAAATAATATATTAAATTACATAGATAGACATGGTAGAGCCATGCTGCAGCTATATTAGTAGTATAATTGTAGCACGAATGGTTTGGCCCGACTGGGGAAAGAACACGGTCTCGCAAAATACCAGCCTAAAATAGCAGCTTAACGCTGCTGTGTTTCGTAAGGTGAGTGTAGAGAACCGGAGACCCTTTTTACTGCAAATCACATTTTGATTTGTAGTCGAGGATAGATGCAGATGTGTATGGGCCGCAGCAACCACTTACCATCAGGTGGACTGTGTGCTCGTTTGTCACCCTTATCCTATAAAAGAAAAATATGCGACATCTCGAGACTTTTCGGATCCATTCAAAAGTATAAAAATCGGATCAAGATGAAAGATACAGTCATGTACATCAGTCATTTAACAGTGGTAGAGCCACGCGGCAGCTTTTGCTGTCGCACGGATGGGCCGGCTCGAACCGGGGTGGTACCACGACCTCACAGAATGCCGGCGTGAAGTAGAGGTTTACCTCTGCGTTTCGCTTGGTGAGTGCAGGTGGCCGGGGGCCCTTTTTGCTGGAAATGAGGCATTCCATCTTAGTCTTCACGGGTGGCAACGCATCTGCATTTTGATTCGCAAACGAGGATAGATGCAGATGTCTATGGGCGCAGCAACCACTTACCATCAGGTGGACTGTGTGCTCGTTTGTCACCCTTATCCTATAAAAAAAATGTACTGTACACATATACAGAAATGCGGTTACTTGTTGGTATAGCCGGCTACAACTAGGTGCAGTCGTTGCCGGTGGGTAAATTGGAGTCAACTTATTCGATTTTTCCCGAATAATTTATAAATAAGGCAAATTTCCGATGAAATGTGATGTAGCAAGATTAATGTTACGGTTCCTAGCAAGTTCTTTTTATGTTCCAAAATGTTTTTTTTTTTCACACTATGGAAATCAATGCTTCGTACTAATATAGTGTTAAATTCACGTAAGTTTAATTTAGCTGATAAAAAAATGACATATCTTTCAATCGGTGTTTTGGACCAAAATCATGAAATTCCTATCTGAGCTGATTGAAAAGTGCTTATATTTGAAAATAAAGGGAATATTATTTAATTTTGGACATCAAGCGTTTTGTTTTTATTAAAACATATTAATCCATTAATATAACTTTTAGTTGATACCTACCTTTTTTTTTGACCTACGGGCCTACCTACAACTAATATGAGAAACCTAACCGTCGAGCGTCTGGTTGTCCGATGGTGGTAAAGGGAGGAAAGAATAAAATCATGTCCTCATGCGCACTCTCCTATAAAATACTATAGATACCTTTCTAGCTTTTCGGCGGCTGACAGTGCCCTTTAGAAGTTCCTGACCGCCGCTCTCGACATGCTCGGTTGCCTGCAGTGCGAAGTACTCCACGCTGTCGATCTGGTCTTGCTGTAATTTTTTAACATATTATTTTATATTTTAACAGATATGCGGATATTCATAAACTCTGTGACGGATCTTATGCAAATAGGTCGGCTTGACCGGGGAAGGACCACGGCTCTCACAGAATACCAGCGTAAAATATCAGCTTAATGTTGCTGTGTTCCGTATGGTGAGTGCAGAGTACCGGAGACCCTTTTTACTGGAAACGAGGTATTCCATTTTAGTTCTCAGGGGTGACAACTCATTTTGATTTTTAATCAAGGATAGATGTAAATGTCTATGGGTCACAGCATCCACTTACAATCAGGTGAATTGTGTGTTCGTTTGTCACCTTCTATGCTTCGTTCTATAAAAAAAAGGATTGAAATAATCTAGTCCGGGGATATTGTTGTTGCATTCCTCGCGTTTTCCATTATTTAATTTTCTGCTTCTTCACATAGGCCCGTAAAAGTTCACAGCTGGGCGTGAGTCTCTGCCGTTGTTAGGAGGAGTGGCAATAAACGTCACGCCTAGCCTAAATTAGAAGTATCTAGTACTCCAGGAACTAGTTGTTTGCTATCGCTGGGATGGTAATACCACACTTAGTCGGAAATTATAAGATAATTCTCATACAATCACAGCAACTTCAAGCAATTATTTTATATTAAAAACCTATTTCGAAACACGCTCTATACATTCATTGGTAATATAAAAAATGTTTTTAAAATATTACAACAATTTAGAAGTAATTACATTTGAGGTCTTGTTACGATTAATTATATATAGATAATAAACTAGTTTATCATGACATAATATTTGGTATGCTATTAATTTACATCATTTCAATGAAATATTTGACTCGACAGAAAATATATTCTCACAGCTAGCATAAGGGCAACTATCATTATTATTAAGAAATGCAACGTTTTATTCTATTATTATATATATTTTTCAATCGCACATTAGTTTTTAAAGTTTAAATTAAAATGTTGTGTTTAAGTAAACCAAGCGAAAACTAAACACAAAATTTTATATTGGTACCCACGATACAGGATTACGTAGTGTAGGTACCAACGCATACTTCAATTATTCAGTTTTCGTTTTTTAATTAGTTTTAAATTTTATTTAAAACTGGCTTTTACGTACTAATAACGGCGAAATATTAGATATTGTCTGTGTAAATCATGTACATTATTTAATTTTACCATCACAGCCTATTAAAGTCCACTTCTGAACATAGGCCTCCGCCATAGATTGCCTCATAAGCGGATATTTGCCATAGTTGCCACGCTTGGCAAGCGGTTGACAACCGTAGTTTTTCAAAATTTAAATTTTAGTCGTCATTAGGAAGACGCTGCTGGCCATCTCCTGATTTGTTTCCCTCTGTTAATCCAGCATTTAATGCACCATATTCCTATTTATATTTATATTAATTGCAAATTTAAATCACCTGCAATATTCTTCTATATATTATGCATACTTATTATATCTCTTTTGCGTGGAATTTGCTCTCATGATAACTTTTAAATATATTTTATACATATTTTATACATAGGCAGACGAACACACAGCCCAACTGGTGGTATGTAGATGCTGTGGCCTATTAGACATCTACATTTATCTTCGATTAAGAATCAAATTGCAGGTGCGTTGTCACCCCTGAGGACTAAGATGGAATGACTCTTTGCCAGTAAAAAGGGTCTCCGGTTCTCTACACTCACCATACGAAACACAGCAGCATTAAGCTGCTATTTTACGCTGTCATATAAAAATTAGTAGAAAATGTGAGGAAGTAAGAGAAAGTACAGTAATATGTTTTTGCTTTTATTTATTTATATGCTTTTGCTGTTACTGATGCTGTATGGTACATGTGATGTCAAATCGTTCCTGTCTTAGTAGGCTTTAGTATTTTTTTTTAATCAACAAATAGGTTTAAGGTCCTTGTATTAATAACACGTGATCATAACGGTTGAAATAAAATATTTTTATTTAATTTATTTATTTAAAAGTTAGTTGATGAGCACGTCGAAAGGAAATGATCACCAAAGCTTAAAAGGTTTATTAAAAGTAGTTAAAAGGTTATTTCGGCAAATCTTTTCTTGAGTAGTTAGTGTTTAGTAGGACGGTTGTTGACGTACTGATTTGAAGTTAAATATAATAAAATGATTACTAATTAAACATGCGCCCCGAAAGTAGGTCGCAAACGTGAGCACAAAATAAAGTTGAATGTACGATGGCGCTTGCCCGTACAAGTAAAGTAAATTAAAGTTACAGCCTATATACGTCCCACTACTGGGCACAGGCCTCCTCTCATTTCTGAGAGGGTTTTAGGGTAAGGAAATGTCCGCCGCGCTGCCCCAATGCGTGTTGGCGAATTTCACATGTCGTCGAAATATTTTTTCTTATTTCTCAGACATGCAGGTTTCCTCACGATATTTTCCTTCACCGTCGAGAACGTGGTATATCAGCACTTAAAATTGCAATTAACAATTTCATTGGTGCCGGCGGGGATCGAACCCGGGTTTCTCGCGTACTGTGAAACTTACAGCGACCACTAACTATCTGAGCTACCACGGCTCTATTTTAATATATTATTTTATACACATATTTAGATAAGGATAAATAAGTTTTTCTTGTTTGAAACCAAGTGATCAAAAGAATATTATATGAATTAAAATTGATTTCCTTAATGTAAAGCTACAAGCAAATACAAACACCTGTACAGGTGGTTTATGATTATTATAACATTAATGTGTCAATGACAAGCACTCAGAGGCAACGATGCAGCCACAAGGTGACGCCGCTAATGTTAGCAAAAAATGTGCAGCGTCGATCGCTGTATTGTAAAAACAAGATGCGATTGATGTTCATCAAAATTTATATTTTAAAGTGTTTAATATTGTACAAAAACAGTTTTTTTTTTTAACTTACACCACTTGTAAATGTACAAGAAAAATATCTTTCATATTTTCTATAACACGCATTCGTACAGTTATACTCGTACATATCGTTATTTAATGATTCCAATTTACGGACCTAGAAAGTAGCAGCAGTTAAATACATTCTGTGTACCTACTAAAATAAAGGTATTATAGTAACTGTTGATAATAACTGATGATAAAACATTTTGTTTATCAATTATTTTATTCAGTAGACTGCTTGCAACTTACACAGTTTTTCAAATCTCCGAGAGTAGAGTAGAGAACATCATAAGGTCGCCCTCGGTTAATATAACGTGTTAATAATAAAAATAAATTAAATAATATATGTCGACCGTGTAGTAGCGGAGTAAAAATATTCAGTATCCCATATCGTCCCGTGGGTGTCGTAAAAGACGACAGAGAAAACAATGTAAACTTGTATGTATGTTGTAGGTTTAGTCGTCGGTGAGAGGGCTGTATGTAAGTAATATACTGTTACTTACATAGACTTTTATGCATACTACTAAACGGGCACTATGCTGCTAATGTACACTACTACTGTGGTACTAGTAAATTGCTCAATACGAGTAAGTTGCGGTTGATTCTCCTAGTTCTTTATATCGTAAAGCGCGAACCTTTTTTTTCGATAATATAACACTGATTTTGTCTAATGTACCTAAGAAAACGCTGTAATTTTTTATGTACGTAATTTGTCAACGTGATTTGAAGTCTATTTCAGATAATTATGTAACATTACATCGTTTTTGCCTAAAACAGAAACTGACGTAAATTAAAATACAACCGCGCGGCATATTCACCGTGCCAGCTACCTGTCCAGCCCGCAGGGATCGCTCGCGCGTTCGCAGCTGTGAAACAGTTTTTGTTCCGGACTTCCGATCTAGTAGCATACATAGAAGTCTTTAATGCGCGAACGTGAGCAACTTGCCTGCTGCGCGACGAGGTGCGAGAGCTGCAGGAAGAGGTCGCGGACGTCCTGCAGCGCCGCCTCCACGCGCGCCAGCTCGTCGCGCCGCGCCTCCGCGTCCCGCAGCATGCGCCGCGCCTCCGCCGTCTCTGCGCGCACCTGCGCAACTACTCTGTACCCCTACCCTGCTCTCACAACCCTTTCGAACAGGTACGGCTGGTAAACGAGCGCACTGACTACCTGATTGTAAACGTCACCCGCGAAGCCTGAGATGAAATACCTCGTTACCTATTTTGTCTCATATTTTCGTCACTCACCGTATCAAAATCAGGAGAATTGTGCTCCTATTTCACACTGGTATTCTGTGAGAGTACGGTCCTTCTCCGGTCGGGCCATATACAGTCTGCGCGTTTATCATATTTTTCTTTTTTATCAGCCATTAATCAGCATTTATGACTTATGCAATATGTCTGGAAAATGCAGTAATAAATGGGGACAAGTCTATTCGGCTGAGATTCAAATTTAAAACCTGCGACTTGATAATAAGGTGTTCTGAGCACTCACAGACGTGGTTGTCAAGGGGCGTGCGCTTACACAATACTCTCTATGGACCTTAGATACAGGATTCTGAAATGGAGTGTGGTATTGGTACATGGCATGAAGGTGTAACTTACACAAATGCTAACCTCACCTACTCTCGGTGCATCTCAGAAATTAGGTATTTGAGATTACGACGCTCAAAAAAAATCTACTCGAAATGTTATAATATCACAGCAACAGACTTGTAATGAGAGATATCATTAAACGTGCAAGAGTATCGGATCTGTACTCAACAAGTTCACCTGGTGACTACGGGCAAATTTTTTACTACATTTTATTTTATCTTAGATTTTTTCCTGTATATCTACATACATATTGTACATGGAAAAACATCCGGACCCGGAAAATTTATATGTAAACACTTGTTCCGTGTAGGGTTCCAACAAATGCTTAGGCACCGAACCGTCGAACATTTATCCTGCATTGCACTCAAAACCACTGTTGTTTTGTGATTTATATTATGTGGTGTGAACTACACGAGTGTCCACCATCTCATATCATCCCGTGGCTGTCGTAAGAGGCGACAGAGGGAAATAAACCAAAAGATGGGCAGCAGCGTCTTCCTAATAACATTTAAAAATAACAAACTGCGGTGTCCTAGAGTTCTTGGCCGACCAAGCGAGGAAACGTGAAGGTCTATGTACAGCAGTGGACTTTTGATAGGCTGTAATGTTGAACGAAATCTGAAAAATAAAATTATATTCATTGACTATAATAAACATTACTCAGGAGTGTAGTTAACCCCCACGAACACTTACGTTGTCAACAAACAGGGACAAGTTGTTAGAGTCAAGCAGGTGTTCGCACTCTTCGTCCGAGATTGTGAGGTTTGCTGGAATTGAAAGGAAATTTCATTATTTCATCATTCATATCTAGTTACATAGAAAACTTTATGAATTGACCCTGATATAAGGATTTTAAAAGAGCCATGTTTAAAATTAACAGACTAACTCATTAGGTGTCAGGATTCCTTTTCTTCCTAGTAGTTCGCTTGGGTGGGCACCATCCGCTACCCATTTATAATGCAACGCCTGCTCTGCTGTGTCCCGGCTGAAGGGGTGTAGAGAGTCATTATAATTACAGGCCATCAGGCATTCCATCTTAGTGTGCAGGTGTCCATGGACGGCAGTAGCTGCTTACATCAGGTGAACTGATAGTTCGTTTGCCACTTCTGTTTTAAAAACAAAGGCGGTGTTTTCACACCGTGCCTCGGTAAGCACGTAAAGCGGTCCCGCGCCTGATCTCTCTCCAGTCGTGTCGGATTGCCGTCCCATCGAACTATGAGAGTAAGGGAAATATATAATAGAGAGTGCGCTTGTGCTTCCGCATATTCTAAAAAATTCGGTCTAAAGGATATTATTATTAATATTAAAAATATTTCTAAGAAGCCATTGATCCTCGCTTTGATTCGTTAAGAAAAATTATATTGTATATATTGTAATCTGTTGCATCGCTGTTTACAAAACTTGTAGGTCATTCTCATGCGCGCAGCTGACGTACTTCGTAATTAATGAGCTTGGGTCAGCGGGCGTCGACCGCGGCCGCTCTGTTTAGTAATTAGTAACATTTTGCTTAAATAGCGGTATCGAAAATGAGTAATGTGATCTAGTTTGCATTTCGGGAAAATCATTCTTTGTTGAAAGTTCTTATAACAAAATGTTCGCTATGATCCCCTTTGACACTTCACGAAGAAGTAGACAAATCTTTGTCAAGTAACTATTACTTCTAAACATGCTTTACGTAAAATTGTATTTGTTATATTAAGCTATATATTCAATTATATCACGCACAATTATTTATTATAATATTGGTAGGTTGATTATAAAGTCATGAAATTTAATTTTAAAATTCTGACAAAGCTAAATAAAACAATAAGAATACTGTGCTATAGGTGATCGCGCTGGTTAAAAGTTATTCTGTCTTTATAAATATGTATAGCCCATGTAATAGACACATCAACATAGTAAGAGGAAGGTTGAAATCACAGCAGCTGGGTAAGAGACGCGGTAATTACCTACGCTATTATCTTATTTATATATCCCTTTTCCTGGTGTTCCGCGATCAAACTGGTTAAGAATAACTACACTCTACCCACGTTAACTCGTCAATGAAGGTCAGAAAGTCTGGTGGACTATGACATCCGTACCTCCACGCATTCCACGACCACACATGCACATACATATAGCTGCTCAATGGAAATGAAATTATAAATTATTTGTCGCATATATTTTAGTTTTAATATTTTATTAAATTTAGTACACTGTTATACCATCCGGCTATATGCTGCTATTAACGTGGCGGTAACGTTTCCCTTGAAATCCAATTAAATGTTAAATGTAGATACCTATGTCCCACAGCATCAATTTACTATCAAGTTGACTGTGTGCTTGTTTGTACCCTTGTTCTATATAAAACAATATGGTTGCAGTGGACTCTCCTGTGCTAACTAATAAGAAATAGGAAAAGAAGAGGATAGCAGACTGACTGAGCTTGATCTGCTCATGCAGCAGGCGCATGCGGTCGTCTCGCAGCAGCTGCAGCAGACGCTGGTGCTCTTCAAGCGCATCAGCGTAGCGGCGGCGCGCGGCCGCGTACTGCAGGCGCGCCATGCGGCCGCCCGCCCCCGCGCCCGCCCCTGTCCCCGCGCCCGCCTCCGCCCCCGCCCCCGCGCCCGCCCCCACGCCCGCCCCAACGCCCGCCGGCCGCAGCGCGCGCGCCTCCAGCTGGCGCAGCGCGCCGCACAGCTTCAGGCCCGCCGCCTGCGACCGCGTCACCGCCGCGTCCAGTTGCTCCTGCACCTCTGCAACACGCCCGCATCACACTACATCGTGTACAACTTTTTTTAATACACTTTTATTTGCTTTGCATCTATCAATTTACCGTGTAGTTGCGATGTAAGAATATTCACAGCCCTATATCATCCCGTGAATGTCGTAAGAGGCGACAGAGGGAAACAAAGCAGCAGATGGGCAGTAGCGTCTTCCTAATGACGACTAAAAATAAAAAAACTGATGTTGCCAACCTGCATGCCAAACGTGGCAACTACGGCAAATATGGTGATCAGAATCACCGGGATAATTCTCTCTAAAATCATCACAGCTCATAATCAATGTGTGTTTTTTAAGTTTCCTTAAACTTTAATATTATTTACTATATAATATTGACAATAAAAGACGTGGTCCTTCACTGCTGGCCGTATGAGGAAGCTCAAAGTGCTCAGCGAGCTATGGAAAGGGCTATTCTCGGCGTTTGTCTTGGTGATAGACTTAAATGAGGATTTCCGCAATAGAACGAGAGTAACCGACATAGCCCAAAGAATTAGTATGCTGAAGTGGCAATGGACCGGCCGTATAGCTCGAAGAACCGACATCCGATGGGGAAGAAAGGTTCTCGAGTGGCAGCCTCGTACTGGCAGGCGAAGTGTAGGGCGTCCCCCCGCTAGATGGAGTGACGACCTGGTAAGACATGCAGGAAGTCGATGGATGCAGGTGGCTCGGGACCGTGCTTAGTGGCATTCCTTGGGGGAGGCCTATGTTCAGCAGTGAACTTGTGAAGAGCTGTAATGATGATGATGATGATGATTAGCAACATTATTTAATAAGCCATCGTAGAGTTTGCTACACCAGAGGATGCCTTTTTAGATGCGAAACCTATTTCTAAATTGTGATAAAGCCATAATGATAATCCGAGCGGAACCTGTACTAATAGTATAGGTTCCGCTCTCGCACAGTAGCCAATCATTAGCTCACCTTTTACTCTGTGTGTTATTAAAGAAAAAATGCGGTAAGTGTTTAGTTTAATGCGCTGTCATATGAACCATTGTGATTGGAAATAAACGATTATTTTATTATTTTGTTACGAGATTATTATTCTGTGGTGTAAGTATGTATTTATGAAATACTCAACCTTATTACAAAAAGTAGTTTATATTTAATCTCAACTTTAAATTAAAATATTCTGTGTAAAATAAATCCCGCGGAAATATGCGAACTAAAATAAGAACTAAAATCTATAGAATTGTCAGGAAACGTTAAATTTCGCGAAAACTGCAGTGCCGCGGCGAAGGAACTTCTCTTAGAAGGACTACTATTAAGCCATAACTTAAACCCGAGACTCTCAATAAACCAATAAATATCGAAATTTCACAGTTTAATTCTATTAACAAATATATAAGATCCAATTTGTTTACGATTTATAAGTGTGATAATGCCAGTGGTTTTTATGACTTGCAATATCAGAAAGCCCTCGAAAAAGCCGTAGAAGAAAATATCTAAGCGATATTGTATTAAGTTGCTACGCTGTAAAGATATTTCCCATGTATTCCTAAACCTTTCGTATAACGTATGAAATTCTATTACTGAATCCGGAGGAAAAGCCAATACCTACGCTTGTTCGTGTGGTAGGTCGGGTCGGAGTGCAGGCGGCGGATGAGCTGCGTGTTGCTGTGTACCTCGTTTATCCATTTGTATATCGCCTCCACCTGGAATAGCATGGACAAGTATTGTAGCTTCATTAAGACAGACGAGCGATATAAATATAATTATGCTGTTTGTAGTTGGGAATTCAAACAGTCCATGCATCTCAGTATTGTAATTAAAAAAAAAATACAATTCCTTTATTTTCCCTGATCAGCCGGATCTTGCACTGAAGATCGCTCTGATACGTGTCTACCACAATCCTCACTAATTTTCCAAAGCCTAGCTGGCGAAGCCACACTGTAGCTACATTATGCTTGTGGCAAAAATGGGTCGGCTCACGTACATGGTTAGGACAGGCAATAAGATTAAGCACCTTGCTCTCGCAGAATACCTTCACCGTTACAGCCTATAAAGTCTACTGTTGAGAAAAAGCGTCCCGTATGGATTGCCTCATGGGGGGGGGGGGGGGATATTTACCATAGTTGCCACGCTTGGCAAACGGGTTGTTTATTTTAATTTTATTTTTATTCGTTATTAGGAAGACGCTGCTGGTCATCTCCTGATTTGTATCCCTTTATCACCTCTTACGACACCCACAAGATGATATGGGGTAGTGGATATTCTTACACCGCCACTACACGGTAAACACAGAATACCAGCGTTAAATAGCAGTTTAATGCTGCTGTCTTTCATATGGTAAGCGTAGAGAAACGGAGACGCTTTTTACTGGAAACTATCACATTCAGTCAAAGTGACTCTGACACCACGAGACTTAACGACATCATAAAATTGGGAGGCGTTTTAGTATTTGTGTGATTTAAGAAAACTGTACTTTTTTTTAAATAATTCAACTATTAAAAAAATCTCGACTTCCCTGTTACAAAATACCTCTTCAGGAAGGAGAAGAGGTCTGTGTCAAATAATATTTTTTTTGTATAGTTAACACATTGGGGAGTATGAACAGTGTAGGTGTAGCTAAACAAATAACCGCGTTATCTGTTGGCGAGTGTTTTGTGTCCTCTCGGCGTGATGTCATCGGCAGATTAATGATCGTCGCTGTCGAGTACAAGTCTCCTTGAACCTTGAGGAGTGCATTATAGACTTTTCAAACGTGCATAAATACAATGGAAAATTGCATTAAAATTAAATTCGAATTTCTAAGAGCCTTATTGTGCATTCGGAAACTTAAAGCGTGTTTCATTTAGATTAGCACTGTCATAAATCATCTCTAAGTAAATCAACATCGAACCCTACGAGGATACTAGTAATGCTTAAAGTATTGCCAACGTTTCTTTTTTATGGAATTAGGGTGAGATAGTTTGAGCACACAGTCCACCTAATGGTAAGTGAATGCTGTGATCCATAGACATCTACATTTATTCTCGACTAGCTGTGCCCCGCGGTTTCACCCGCGTATATCACTCGTCTGCGCCTTGCGACATGCGAACTTCGAGAGAGACATCACGACGGACGGTTGCTGAATTAACAAAGATTTAAAAAGTGAAATATGTTACTAAAATTACATAGTTAACGTAATTGGTAGTTATGCATGGTACAGGTACTGATACGAATAATGTGGCCTAGTTTATACCGGCGTTACTATTTCACATTTTAACATGAAAAAGTAGTTATTGTGACATAACTGTAATAATGATTTCTTATATTTACGCGAACACTACACATTGAATAAAACTACTTTTACGGATTTTATCGCGTTTACATCGGGACGTCAATCACCTCAGTCCCCCGTGACCACGGTTGCTGGAAAGCAACCGAAACGTCGGGAATTATAAAATAACTTAATTAAACGCGATAAAACCCGTAAAAGTAGTTTTATTCAATAACTGTAATAGTTAAACATATGGTATCGCAGACTTTTTTGTAGATATTGATATCTTCTATAAAACTGAAGTACAATACTTTGCTCTATTATCAATAGTTTCCGCAGCGTACGCTATATAAGGATTCTTTTTGGTATTTTTTTCACCTTGGGTTACATTAACGAAGTTTTCATACGGATCCCTAACTTTTTTGAAAATATTATATAGCCTATGTTCATCAAGGATAATGTAGGATTCTAATGGTGAAAGAATTTTTCAAATCGGTCCAGTAGTTTCGGAGCCTATTCAGTTCAAACAAACAAATCTTTCCTCTTTATAATAGTAGTGTAGAAGTGTAGATGTAGATTAAGATCAAAATCAGATGTATTATCCTCCGGATATAGAGCATTATATCCTGAGGGCTGAACTAGAATGCCTCATTTCCATTAAAAATAATCTCCGGTTCTCTACAGTCACCACACGAAACGCTGGTATTCTTTGGGAGCGTGGTCCTTCCCCAGTTGAGCCGAAACATTAGTGCTCCAAGCATAATATTATAACTGCAGTACGGCTCTGATGATTCGTGAGGTTTAAAAGATTTTAAATCCCTGTAAAATCATTCCTTAAAGCTTTTTAATGCAGATCGAAATATTTTTTTGAATATTAGTTCATTTCAGGTTTGAATGAAATTATATGGCATAGTATGATTTCATTGCGGCGCATTAGTGAACAGGAAGCTGCCTCTCGTGCTGACCCGTACGCAATTAATTAATCTTAATGAACATAACTAATTTGCGTGTACCATTCATTTAAATAAGCCATTAGTAGAAAATGTATGAAAGTAATGGATGAGTATGGTGTCTCTTCCTCCCTTCCTTCGGTATTGAATGTTTTTTAACATCATGAAAAATTCATGATGTTCATTTCTTACCAAAGCCCACTACTGAATATAGGTCGTTCATCTAGCAAGGGAGATATTCGCCATAGTTGCTACGATTGGCTTGCAGGTTGGTATCTCACTCACGCATATATACAAGAGTCTACGCAGAATTTTGTCGAATATTTTTTTTTTTGTATTGGGCACTGGCCTGTTATAATTTATTTTGAAAAGTAAGTATTTTCTTACGTGGTAGAGCCATGCTGCAGCTATATTAATAGTATAGTTGTAGCACGAATGGGTCGGCTCGACCGGAGAAGGACGCACGCTCTCACAGAATACCAGCGTAAAATAGCAGCTCAACGTTGCTGTGTTTCGTATGGTGATTGTAGAGAACCGGAGACCCTTTTTACTGGAAAAGAGGCATTCCATCTTAGTCCTCACGGGTGACAACGCATCTGCATCTGGAGTCTTTATTGAGTCTTAAAATTGTATTTTGTTATTAGTACCGTATATACTTTTATATGTATTTGGTAAAAATCTGTAATTTTGACATTACAAACAGACACTCCAATTTTATTTATTTGTATAGATATGATATCTATGGGTCACAGTATCCACTTACCATCAGGTGGACTGCGTGCTCGTTTGTCACGCTATCCTTTAAAAAAAAAGTATATGGATATTCCAAGTTCAAATTTCCGTCCACATTTTAGCGGGCTATATGAAAAAAAACACGTGTTATTGAAAAATGGCTGTGCGTCGGGAATATTTACGCACAATGAATTTTTACGACTCTAAACATTTATAATAAAAGCTTTTTAAGAAAACCGCGTACCGCTGGTATGTACAACACTTTTGCACGGTCGACTAAGATTGAGAGATTAAGAAAGCCCTTCGCCTTTAAAGCTGTTATGGGAGAAAACGCGTTGGCAATGAAAAATTTAATTGAAGGGAACAGACGAGTTACAGATTGCAGATTGTATCAGACAACGTTCACAAGATTTTACATTGCACAACCTCGATCAAACTTCTCAGTCGTGAGCTACAAGCGACTTACCCCGTGTAAATCGCCCGGAGGGCTATTGCTTCATCATGAAAACGCATCGTGTAGACTCAGCGCTCAAAACGGGAGACCTACTATTGAAGCCTGGAAGCTTTTGTGTCAATCTTCTAACAACCCTAATTTGGCACCTTGTGACTTCTTATTATTTCTAAAAATTCAGCTGAAAGGGATACAGTTTTCATCGCCGGAAGTTGCGCTAATGTTTGAGCAGGACGTAGAATAGATGCTTGAGGCGGACTGAAAAATGTGTTTTTTTCGAAAATTGGTTCAAACGTATAAAACTTTGCATGCATAGCAAGACGTTAGTAAAAAGTTCCTTGAAAAGATTTAATAATAAAAACTTTAAGAAAAATCTTCTAAACGACCATTGGTATTATACTTACGATAGAATGTTTTAACAATTGTTATTCGATCACTGACCACCTTACATGACATATTTGGGGCCCGGCTTCTCGGTAAAGTTTCAACTACAGGTTGTCTAAATCTCATCTTTACACAGATTCTATGTTGAATGAATGTTTAAATAATATAAGTTAATAGCACGGCATTCAAATAAACAAACCTCTTGTAAGAGCTCCTCGATGTCTTTATTGAGTAGCTGAGGTGGCAACTCCAGCACCGTGTCTTGGTAAACACCTGCGCCGCTCGACAGCTGCAAATTTTCGAATATATTTTTAAATAACTTTTTTTTGTACGTAGTAGAGCCGTGCTTCAGTAATAAAAATTATAGTTGTTGCACAAATGGGTTGGCTCGGGGAAGGACATACTCTCACAATACACCAGCGTAAAATAGCAGTTTAATGCTATGTTTGCATTTTAATGTCTTTTGTATGGTGAGTGTAGAGAGCCGGAGACCATTTTGACTGGAAACGAGGCATTCCATCTTATTTCTCAGGGGTGAGAACACATCTGCATTTTAATTCTTTATTGAGAATAAATGTATGCGTCTATGGGCCACAGCATCTACTTACCATCAAGTAGATTGTGTTATCATTTGTCACCCTTATTCTATTAAAAAAATTACTAATGTTTCGATCTGTGGGATATTTATGTTCTCTTGCAAGAATAAAAAAAAAATTTCAATTTCTGTTTAATATTTTTTTTCTAAATGGTGAAAGCTAACCTGATGATGTATTAATTATTGTTTCATATTTGCTCTGGGTAACACGATGCGGCTAGTCGTGGTCCGGGAGTGCATCTTAGCGTGAGGCGGCGAAGCGTGACTCTCAACCTAACGGCATAAGTTTTGACCGCAAACTATTGCAGTAAATTCGTGTAGTCTATTATAGTAATATAGTGTTCAAATTTACATAGAAAATCTTAGTTGACATAACGTTTGACGTAGGTACTTTTAGACAAAGTTCATCTATACGTAGTAAAGCTACGCTGCAGCTATATTGTGGTTGCAGCACGAATGGGTCGGCTCGACCGGGGAAGGACCACGCTCTCATACAATTCCAGCGTAAAATAGCAGCTTAATGTTGCTGTGTTCCGTATGGTGAGTGCAGATAACCGGAGACCATTTTTACTGGAAACGAGGTATTCCATTTTAGTTCTCAGGGGTGACAACACATTTTGATTTTTAATCAAGGATAGATGTAAATGTCTATGGGTCACAGCATGTGCACAGTGTTTCGTATTTTGAGTATAGAGAATCAGAGACCCTTTTTACTGGAAACGAGGGGCTCCATGTAGGGCCTCAGGGGTGACAACGTGTCTGCTTTTAAGATTCCTGAATGTAGGTGCTTATGAGTCAAGGCATCTACTTACAATCTGGTCTAACTGTTACAGCCTACTGTGTGCTTGGGTGTCACTTTTGTAATATAAAAACAAAAAAATTATAAAATGCACAAACATTTTTCTTGCTAACTTAAAAGTGTAAACGTTGTAAATTGTACGGTAGAGTAATGGATCATGTATTTTAAGTTTGGGATAACTGATAAGGGTTAAGTGTTTGCTTGCTGTGCGATCTCTCGACATGTGACGTGGCACTGACCTGGCGCAGTTCGTCTAGGCGATCCTTGCTCCTCATGGCGCTGCTCGGCACTCGATCTCACTTCAGTTCAATGTCTCTGTGTCTAATCGCGGCGGCCTCCGTTACGCGGTGCAGTGCAGCCGCGGTGCGCTCGCGGCGGTATCTAATCGCACACTGATAACGAAAATGATATCACGCGCGTGGATTAAGGCGAAGTTCGACCTCATCGCTCGCTGCCAACTACCTTGTGAACGTGTTCAGTATTATTTGCGACGACTGCTTGAAGCACTTTAAAGAAATACGACAATATAATAAAACAGCACTTATCACATTGATTCACCGTAACCCTGCGAAACGACATACGCACTTAATTGTTTCCAAGCATTCATTTTAATTATAAATTGGTGTTACCGATGCTCCACCGCACGTGTCATATGTCACAGCTGACGATGCATTGCGGGTGCATTGCACTGTGGACCACTCTAATACAATCGCACCTCAAAGTTGATATTTTTATTACAATTTAATGAACAAGTAAGGCCTTCACGGTCATTGATGTTTGCACGTCACATTAGCGTCGATGACAAGTCACATTATATGTACATGCTGTAAAATTCATGATAAATAAAATAAGGATCCTTTTATTCATATATTAAATATCTTTAAGATTTATAGAAGCCTTAAGTTTGACCAGCATAACTCTAAAAGGAAGTTATTACACTCCGGAAAGTCTTTTAATAGACAAACCTAGAATTTTCATGTAAAGATTAAAGGTGATTTAAGTTTAGCCTTTTCTGTATTTGGAAAAATTACGTTTAAACAAATTTGGGTAAAGTTCTCTTCCAAAATCTATAATTTCTAATTAGAAATAAAATAATATGTAAGAAAGTGCAATCTTATTTTATTGTCGTTGTATTGTCAGTTTAAGGTCCCCTTTGTAATGTAGGCAGTAGAGGAGATTTATAAATCCGGAAGAATTTTTAGATTCTTACTGATATTTTATTGTAGTCAAAATTGTTTTGATGTTACTTGAGGGCAATTCAAAGCGTTTTTCGATCGAGAACAACGATCAGTGAAACCTATGGACCATTTGCCATGATTTCCAAATTTAAGAAGGCAGCGACTGACCAACTGACTATAGTATTTCGTACGTATATGTGATAAATATATAATCTAGTATTTCCGTGCATTATACAATGTACTTATAATTATCTCTATTCTATTAAAGTCTTTGAATTTTACTCGAACCGGGATTCAAACCCGGGAACACATGATCAGCGGTTGCGCTTACGACCATTATACACTACACACAGATAATATAATTATTATTATAGAGTTATTTATTACTAATATAATATTTTAATAAGTAAAAATTCATTCATAAATTAATATAATTGAAAGCAATAAGTATTAGTATAAATATGTATTAATATTAATAAGTTTTACTTTAACATTATAAAATGAAAACAACACAGGGATTATGAGTCTACACTTTTATCAGCACAGCGACCTCTGTTAATATACAGTGTACTTAGTAAACATTGTTCGGAGCAGAGGCACTATCGTGTGTATATTGAGTCATGCATAATACTAACGTGTATGATGGCCGTCAGATGGCAGCATATCCAAACTACGTTCAATTTTTTATTTTCATCCATAGATGTCGCGTTATTTATTTTAGATGTCTATAATTCTTCTAGGAATGTTTCCAATTTGATTTATTTTTCGATGCAAATCTTTAAATACAAACTAGACTTTAGGAGCGTACTTTCGATCCAATTCAAATACTACATCCTTCTAAAAACAGGTAAAAATTACGATCGGGCGTTATTAGCGCCTTGCCGACTTACCGTGTAGTGGCGGTGTCAGAATATCCATTACTCCATATCATTCCGTGGATGTCGTAAGAGGCGATAGAGGAAAACAAATTAAGAGATGGGAAACAGCGTTTTCCCACTAACAGCTAAAAATAAAAAATAAACTGAGTGCCAACCTACTTATCAAGCATGGCAACAATGGAAAATATCTCCCCTACTATGAAGCAATCTATGCTGGAGGCCTATGTCCAACAGTGGACTTTAATAGGCTGTAACGGTAACGGTGTCTATATATGTAACGAAATCGTTTAATGTAATTTTCACCAACTTATAGACGGTCGATTGACAATTTGCACTCGTATCAAGGACATATGACAACACAATCATTTAATCTTAATATAATCATATTTTTATTCTAGTATCAGGATCAGGATCGTAAGGACAATGCGCCTTAAGACGCTGGTAACGGCGTTACACCTGATTCTGCGAAAATAAGGTGAATCAACGCCTATAGTAACGATTTAGGCAACAACTTTGTACAACGGGAGAGGCCGTATCCAGCAGGCGACTATACGGGCTGACGATGAATATGATTATCAAAACAGTATTTTATATGAATGTATTAGTAGGATTCGTAGATGAAATATGCTGCGCGTATGAAACCGCGACCACATCTAGTGCATAATCCATATTTTAATAATAAAAAAATTTCTCGAACTCGAGCGTATACGCTTGATATAAGTATGAGGGTTCCATTCTTCACAGAGCGCACAACGTGAGTTCTAGAGTATCTCGTCGCTACATACTTAAATGTTATGTTGATACGATAGACGTTTATCGTGATAGGATTGGTGGTGAGATGAGACATTTATCACTAAATTTACAGCAACTTTTTGATTTATTTATTAAAATAAAGTACCTATGTTTTAGATGTAAGTATACAAATTAAGTAATGCAATTAAAGTAATAGATACTTCGGCTGTTTTCACTCCGAACGTTTACGTTATGTCACACAATAATGAAAAAAAAAATGAGTTACATTGACTTATTTTTAGTTCCAAAGGTCCGTACAAACTGGTTAGTTTATTGAAATTAAGCTTCATATTTCCAAATTTATGATAATTTCCTTCTCCCCGACTTTTACCACGTCAAAAGACTTCCGATCGTCATCTGTACATTATGTTTGTCATCATCATTGTGGCCTATCAATATAGCAGTGCATCTACTCGATGTATTTCTATCAACAATTATTGCCACTATAATGTTTTTGTTTTCTATCCACTGCATCTCGATTAAGATAATTCAATACCTGATTTTTTATGGCCCGGACCAGGATTTAAACCCGGGACCTCATGATCAGGAGTCGTTTTTACAACCACTAGGCCATCGAGGCAGTTAGGTAAATGTAAAAAAATTAAATTTAGCAAGCGATGGTATATATACTACTGCAGCGTATAGACTTTGATTTATACCTCCCTTGAGAGATTTATCATAACCAATGATGATGTTCCGATCAATTTTAAAAGATAAGCTTCTCTTCGTAATTTAATTTGTAGACTACGCTGCAAGTACACTATAGCACGAATGGGTTGGCTAGACCGGGGAAGGACTACGCTCTCACAGAAGACCCTCGTAAAACTTAACGCCGCTGTGTTTCGTATGGTGAGTGTAGAGAGCCGGAGACCCCTTTTACTGAAAACGAGACATTCCATCTTAGTCCTTACGGGTGATAACGCATCTGCATTTTGATTCTTAATCGAAGATAGATGTAGATGTCTATGGGCCACATCAACCACTTACCATCAGGTGGACTGCGTGCTCGTTTGTCACCCTTATTCTATAAAACAAATGTAGGTACACGTAGTTTTCATCACGATAACAATTTTTCTTTATCACAGAACACGGGGTAAATCAGCACTTAATAGTGCAATTTTGATAACTGCAATTTTTAGTTCATTTATGCTGGCAGGGATCGAGCCCGAGTTGCGTGAGTACTGTATCATAAATTCTAATCAATCTTTTCTAACTGGTGTTTTTAATTTAATCCTAGTTTTATTACTTCCTGCTGTGTCTTTTGGGATGAATCAAACTTTAAAATGTTTAGCTTTTTACAATCTCAAATACTTGTAAACTGTACACCAACTGACAGAATACATCGGTTATTGCCTTTCAAGGCATCATATCCAATTACAAAAGAAACTTTATTCTAAAATGTACAGATCCTTTACTTATGGCGCATTTATATTTTTTTTAAATCTCAGCAAAAAGAAACCAAAAAAAATTTTAGTGCAATCCTTTGTTAATAGATATTTTGAAATCAGGAAGGAGATTTTTACAGTTAATTATTTTAATATAGGTAAAACAGTTTTCACGTTAATGATTTCATCATAACATTACAGCCCTCATATTTTTGCCACTGTTGGCACGCTTGGCAGGCGGGTTAGCAGCCGAAGTTTTTATAATTTTGTTGTTATCAGGAAAATGCTGCTGTCCATCTCCTGTTTTAGTTTCCATCTTTCATTTTTATAGGCTGCAGTTGACGGATGGATAATGAATTGTTTATATGTAACATGTAATTTATGATTTCAGAAGTAAAACGCTATGTTTCATTCATCAACAGTGGTAGAGCCACGTGGCGGGTTTTCTGTCGCACGGATGGGCCGGCTCGACCCGGGGTGGTACCACGACCTCACAGAAAACCAGCGTAAAGTAGAGGTTTACCTCTGCGTTTCGCTTGGTGAGTGCAGGTGGCCGGAGGCGCTTTTTACTGGAAATGAGGCATTCCATCATAGTCCTCACGGGTGACAACGCATCTACATTTTGATTTGTAAGAGAGGATGTATGTAGATGTCTATGGGCCGCAGAAACCACTTACCATCAGGCGGACTGTGTGCTTGTTTGTCACTGTTATCCTATAAAAAAAATCATTCTGTACAATTTCAAAGTGTTAAATTACTTAAATATCAAAATGTCATTGTAATTACTTGTAAATCGGTAAATTAGTAAAGAATGATGATAGACGATCAGAATGGTGACGAGGGGATAACAAGGGGCGTCGAGCGGCAGCACTTGGCCAATCATATTGCTTCCTCGCACCCCTTTCATTGAAGATTAATAATAAAAGAAAATCCCATTTTAAATAATGTGATAGGACGCGTTAAATTTTTTTTTTTTTATAAAGGATGCCATTTTATTTGTAGCTCGTGTTGCAGTTGTTAGTTTTTATTATTGGAACACTAT